CGGCGATTTGGGACGATAACAATGGCTGAACGGTCGGCTATAGGTGAACTTTTGTTTCATACTCTAAAACAATGTGAGCTAACTATTCCATCATGCCACGGGTTGCAATATATCAGGGGAAGTTTCACTGACGGGGATTCACGTCCCCATTTGAATTGTGGAGTTCAACCTGCTCAATGCGACCACCTGACGCCCTCTCATTGCGGCCAGCCTTCACAAGTCACGAAAGAGTCATCAGTATTCATATACATGATCGAATCAGATGACAAAGTCTTTGAAATCCTATCCAGCTGAATGGGTTTTGTAAGCTCACACCAGTGCGTGGGCACATAGAGTGTAGCAATAATGTAACCGAAGTTGAAGTGTCAATTAAAATGCATCAGACAAAACAGCTTAACACCAAACTTTTGCCACTGCTTTGTGTAAGGCAAGATCTAATATTGGTTAAGTTGGAAAAGCAAGGGTCTGCGGTGAGTACACTGCACATTGTAACTGGCGTTTCTGGTTGTTAAGTCAAGGAAAGGCAACGCCGTTGTTCAACCACAGAGAAGCTGCCAAAGCAGAGGGTCACATGACTTCATTCAGTTCACGTTATTTTCCCTGAATGTGATCGTTATTTTTTAAAAATGACATAATCTGAACAAACCCAAACAGTGCTGTCCCCTTCCGGGAAGGGGGGATCCACATTGCACCTCTGCTGAAGAACAAACACTGACTAGCCACCGTTACCAAAGTACCAGTGGTTTTAGGACGGCACCGGTCGTTCTTGATTACTGTGGTTTTACTCCCCCGTTTTACTGTATCGCTATGAACCTACTTGACGGATCATCTTAACGCAAGAGATCTGTGGTTTCCTATGCCTGTTCCCATGGCAACTTGTTTACGCAGACGGCACGATTGGGTCAAGAGAGATCAAGTACAAAATCAGCTTGACGAGTTATAAGACAACTAATATCACTAAACGCTCTCGTTTACATGTTTAGAAGATTTAAACCCAGTGGTAAAATGAAACTTGAAATCGGTATTGTTTTAAAGATTTTTTTTCTCGCCATAGGGACAAAACCATACATATTAATGGTCAATGGGTAGCCTAGATTGGTAACGTCATTGTTGACAACCGTATACATAAACATCTGCGCAAAGATTATAGCGAGTATTGGCAATGGTGGAACATTATTCGAAAAACTGTGATCAGCAAAAGTCTGTTGTAACGATCGTGGGCCTTCAAGTTGTGATTTTCAGATGAGTTACGAGTGGGATTGGCACACGGGTTCGCTATACGAACATTAGCGCATGCCTCATAATGAGACTTATTGGGTAGATCCATCAGGTTGGCACAGTGGTACTTTCCTCACCTTCAACCGGGTTCGAATCCTGCCTGGGGCAGCATGAGGATTGGGTGTTCAGTCCCTACCTGATTCCATGATATATCATTCCAGGGTAACTCATTCCTTCCTCATACTCTTCCAAGGGACTCCACTGGAAGTAAGTAGATATGAATGAAATAATTTGGCGGTCTCTCTCCCTTCCGCTTCCACATTTTTCAAAAGATTGGGAGTGAAGAATCCGTGTTCCAATGAGAGAACTTACAAGGATTGCGAGTGTCAAGCAAAGCGCCTCCTAGGGTCACCTCCCAAGGGTCTCATGAGCCATACTAGGTGCGGACAGACATTAAGAGGTTGTCTCATCCAATCCCCCTCGGTTCCCTACTCCCTATGGTCTGCCCTCCTCCTCTCTTCCAATCACCTCAAATATCTGCAGGCATTTGATGGGTTGTCTGAATTCCTTCCATTTGGTTCGGCCTCTTTAGGTGCCATTAATGAGGCCGTAAATTGCCACTGTCTTATCAACCGACCTTGGGTGATTTACCGTCGTTATTACCCCGGGCCCATTTACAAAATACCGCCTGGCCGTCTGACTAAAATAAGAAGAGACCTGCTACACAAAGGCCTTAGACTCTTTGCCAGTGCGCCCTCACTGAGGGCATTTTAGTTACGTAAATGCCGTGACAATTGAACGCACAAGGTGTGTAATAATGCATGCGTTTTACAGAGGAACAAGGACCTGCCCTCATGGGTGACTTCAGATGCAAGGGGTCTGTTATACAGAACCAAATCTGCTTTAGGAAGCCTGTTAAAGAAGAGGTTGAAAATGTTTTCTAGTATACACATTCAATATGTGACCTGCAAAAGCGGCCATCTTTGGGGGCTGTGTTACTTTTACTTGTTGGGATTGATACTTTCTGTGTATTCACTGTTCCCGAAAGAGAAGAAACGACACCTTTAAGTCAGTAAGGCTGTGATAAGATGATCTTTAGAAGAGATGCTCAACAAAAGCTGGATCAACGATGGATATGAAGAAGGTTGTCTGCCCAAAACCAGCTCGGTGAGGCTTTCTGAACAAATCCACGGTTTATCTTGTTCCCACCGTTTTCGCCGCATCTTGCTAGTTTTTCCCTCACCAGTGTACATCAGCTTTAAAGTCGGCTGTTTTTACCGGCTGTGACCCGCATGACCACAGCCAATTGGGTTGCCCGTTCCGCACGATCTGACTTCAAGTATTCGGCGCTAAAAGCTTGCCGAATCGCCCCCTCCCGGTTCGGCAAATACTCCCCGACCATACACATGAAACAGACAGCCTCCCTAAATGATAGCAACACGACCGCTGCATAATAGCGGCTGTTGACTTGGCTCTTTTTTATGAGTCATTTTCTCCTTCTTCATTCGCAATCGGGCGAGGGGGGTAAACACGCTAAATGGGTTTGGGGACGCGGGAAAGGGCCGTTCTGATTATAACCATATAAACGAGCGAATAGATTTGGCTACACGAAAAATAGGTTAATTGAGATGTAACGGCGCATTTAGGAAGACTTTGAATGAGCATGAGTCCCTCTTTATACCGATTTGACACAGTGTTGGAGGGCATTGATACGTTTGGTTGGTATTTTCCCATGGCACTTTTCAAAGGTCACGACTGTATTTCATACAGCTTAAGAAACGATTTTGTTTTGAGTCCTTCAATTTCTTTTTTAAAAATGAAGGAACTCTATTATTCAGGGTATGATTGTTAATTTTTTCTCCAACAAAGCCTTTCTTTCCATGGAATCTGTATGTGGACATGTTTCAGCATGACAATTTGATTATTGCGCATATATCTGCTTCTGCTTCTTCTCGTATACTGTACACATCGCCCTGTTGGCCTACTCAGTGCACAAACCAATGAGACTACGGGGGGTTGGCTTGAGAATGAGGGTGAGAAATAAGGTAGGGTTTAAGATAAGGGGTAGATTTAGGGTTGCTACATTTGTGATCACTTGTGTTCCGTGTAAAAGTAAATTTGCTGTACTATTATGCTTTGCTATTGCGCTTCACTATTGTGCATGCGTTGTACGCGTGCACGTTCTGATTTTATGTGAGTCCCAATTCATATGACACCCACATTAAACAGCACATTAAAGCAGTAATGGTGTGTCATGTGGATGTGACTGCGTCCCAACAGCGGTCGTTTATACAGTGAGCATGTCACGGGATTTGTTCAGTTCTATCTCTGATCTGAAGATGAACGCCATCGTCTTGCCATCTTGGCAATCTCACCATGATCTCACCAAGGAAAAGAAAAACAGTCGCAAGTAATTGCTCAGTCAACAATGGCCGGGCCCTGAAGCCGGCAGCGTCTCGATAAATAGCGGAAATTGGCTAATAAGTCCCGAACGCTGATAACAGATTGAGATAAAAGTCTGGTAATTAAAGTCGAAACTGGCCCGTACCGCGGATATCTCCAACAGCCTGCCACAGTCGTTCAACAGGCGGGAAGCGAACCAATCAATTAACAGGTGAACTAATCCAATTTGGGCCAGTCACAACACTCGAGATGGGGAAATAAATTCATTATCAGCATGGGGTTCCAGACAGAAGTTACATCTCATATTCTTATAACCCCCACTTTTCCTATTTGGAGATGTGTGAAAATACTACCGCGAAGGTGTAATTTTATAGCGGGCCCGGAATGCAAAAGCCTGGCCGTGGATTGGTCCGGATCAACCCACGGGCCGCTCCACGCCAGTCACGCTAGTGACAACCAACCCTTCGGGCGGTTTTAATTGTCAGCGCTAACCTCGTTCCTTTCTGTGTTTGTTTATTGCAATCGGCTCATTGCAGGGTCGTGGTGAGTGACAGACAGGACCCTGTGTGAAAGTGCTCGCTATGTTTCTGCTACTGTTCCCTCCATTAGTACATGCAACCGTTGATTAACACTCATTCCGCATGCGATATGACCCATCAACGAGTGCACACATCTTATCGCTCCCTATAAGATTTCAGGCTCGCAAAATGCGACGCGGGCATTATTTTATAAAACAACATCAAGAATACAGGGAAATTGTAGATGGATTACATCATGGGTCAGAGGGGAGGGGTCAACCGATGACCTAATCGTCACACGACCCAGAAGACTGAATACATTCCGAGCGCTGCGATTTTAATGGTTGTGTGATACTCAAGGGAATCTATCATTACGGTATGACTGACATGTAACAGGCAGGGCTGTCACCGAATGGTTGTACGCCTGCGCAGTTAGCCTCCCCTACCAGTCACAAGTGGGAGTGATAAACCGGTGTTGAAATCTTTACGGAGAAATAAAGTCTATTATCATAAATAAATCTATCTGATATTTTCTTTCCCAGACTTTTTGGGTTTTTTTCTTATTTCATCTCTGTGTGGGCCAGCCGACATGGAATAAATTCTCGTTGTTAATCATGACTCTGCCGTAGCCTACTTTAGATTATTTGACCCGAGTGAATATAACGTACCCATCAATCGACTACTCCACATCCATTTCAGTCCATTGTTGGTCGGCAAGTTGCGGCAAACCGATACTTAATAAAAGAGTGGCAAAGTGTCAAGCCCCCCCCCCCCCCCCCACACACACACACACACACCGAGGCGATCTCTTTTGTACACCAGTCACCCTGTGAGTGACACACCACAAATAGACCGTGGACGTCCGAGGTGTTGCTTAATCACTGACCGGTGTTTAACGGTCATTAGTACTGGGCTGCAGGGGCTGACACAGCTCACCGAGGCCGATCTGCTGTGGCACTATACGGGATAAACTTCTTAGCAAACACGCACGCACCACGCGAGCCGAATCGACTACCACACACCGACCGTTTGTGACGTCCATAAAAAGGGGACGCTCCGCATAAATGGTTCTCTATAGAGCGATTGGCCTGATCCGGATTGCTAGTCAGTCAAAACTTTTAACTCTACTCGCGCGCACCCGGCCCACCTTGCAGTTGAGTTGGGTCGGCTTGGTAACATCTACCTGTCGATGTGGGATCCCTTCTCATCTTTTTTTTCAACTCTCTTGTACGACGTTGAAGGGAAAATAAAGCCGGAGATTCTGTCCTCGTCGATTGTTGGCACACTGAACGGAGGATCCTCCTCGTCCATCAGTAAATGCTTTTAATTACCCGTCCCTTGCTCTTCCCATCACTGTATCCATTTGTTTAATGTGGAGGGTCGTTAGCCATCAATTACCAGCCATTTGACGTTGTTGAGGCAACTCTCATCGTTTGGTGCAGCCTGGCAGAGACGCGGAGCTCGGAGTATCATCGGATCGACTTTCTGATCATGACTGTTTATCTGCGTTCCGTAAATGTCACCATCCCGCCACTTTCAAAACTGTAATCACTTTGATATTGGAATCACCAGTAGAGTATCTGGAACCAGTTCGATATCCAATTGTTACTGAGGTGAACTAATTTTCAAGACTCGTTCACGATGTTTCCTCAGTACCGGACTGACTTGTTGGCCATGGGGTTATCTTCCTCCAAGTTTCACCCCGTGCCTGTAGTGTCCGCATCAGCATTCTTTCCCCCGGTGGTGGCTATTGGGACCTGGCATCCCCACAATTACCGGCCGAGGGCCAAGCGTCCCACGCCGTACTATATCGCAGATATTCTCGGTCTTTGGGAGCGTGAAGCGGCGGCGGCAGCGGCCGCGGAGGCCCAGAGGAAGCTAGGGTTGATGAGCGGTGAGCATGCCCGTGCCATGACGCTGACTGACCCGCCTGCCGTGACGGGCGGCAAGACGTGCGGGAAACCTGCGTCGACTTCACCGGGCAGTTTGACCGTCGAGATGGAGAAACGCACGGCCATCAAACACGCCAAAGACGGTCATCAACACCACCATCACCAGAAAACTCACACCACAGACGTCGTGGAAATTGTCACGGATCACACTTCGGACAACCGCGACAGCGCCGATAGCAACGGTAAGTTGTTTATTTCTTGTCATTTTTCAAAACCTTTCTTAAAAAGGCACTTAAACAATCCATTCGCAAGGACAAATTGAAATTGCAAATTCTGCTGTACAGTATATTATTAAGCAATTTAAACGTAATTTTCTTGAACCCCCACCCACAATCAATTAAAATTAAAAACGTGGAGTGCAGTTGAGGGGAAAACCGTTATTACCGTTTAAGCGACTGGCCTCGATTCAGCTAAGTGTTAAATTCCCCTCGCTATAATGTTAATGGTTAGCCTACCATTAAATAGAAGCCTCGGGTACTTTGTTACCCGCCTATTCATCCAGCAAGGCCGATTTGGGGCCTCCTCTTAACTCCATCCCTGCCTGGTAATCTATCACAAATAATAAAGAGGATGGGGACAAAAAAGACGGGACGTCGAGGACCACCTAGGAGAGGAGCGAAGGTGCTTAAAGTTTAACCCCTCCGATTCGGCCCATCATCGACGGGCTCATTATCCCCACTCCAAGGAGCGGGGAATTGAGACCCCAAAAGCCCGGCATCTCTCGTGCTTGATACACCCACAGGGTATACGGCTGCGCTACAGAGGGCCTTTCACTGCCCTCTCTCCATTCATATCTCATTGTGATGGAGCGATGGAATCCTAATACAAAGTGATGGCATGAAAAGAGGACCCCTCCTTCTTGCCTTCCCATTCTTCTTCGTCACCCCTCTCGGACCTCCGTCAATGAATCAAGGGGGGCTTCGGTCTTCCAAGTGACCATCAAGCTCTTTCAAGACGGTAAAAGGTTTCCCGTTGAGGGTGGGTGAGAAAGGGGGAAAAAGAAGAAAACATCCACTTGGGCAAAACTGCCAAACGACCTTTTCATTGGGAAATAACTTCCGTCTAAAATGTGTAACTATGTTTAAAAAGAGGAGGAATTCCTGTCTCCCAAAGCAGTGTCATAACCTTAGGGTTAGGGTTCCGTTTATACCAGTGACCGTGAAAGTTTTAGTTTCAGGTCTAAACATTTCGCTGTAACAGCAAAAAGTATGGAGGCGTTGAAAACACTGTATCTTGATAGAATATTTATTTTTCTATCGGTTATCTTGATCTCCTGATTTCATGCATTTTGTTTTGTTCACACACAAACATTCTTGAAAATTTGAATTGATGTTTTAGTGTCTCAAGTTTCACTCTGAGGGTTAACTGTGATAACATTCTGAAATGAAGATTATAACTAGTCTTTAATTCTGTAATCATTCTGAAGCAATCAGAATGATTCAGTCAATAAACACAGAACGCGTGTGCAGATTTGATTTCAACCATCCCCACTCACTGTAATTTCAGCCCTCGGCAAGAACGACGATTCAAACTAAAACCTCATCCCTCGCAATTACGAACTCCAGATAATCTGGAGATGATTTCTAAGTGCTGTCACTGGCATGACTTAATCATTTGCCGGGCTCGCTAAATGGTCATTAAAATGAGAGACTGGACTCGCGTCGTTAATGAGTCTGTCATTCAATGGAGATAATTACAGCATTCTTGAATTATCAAATGCTTCATTAGTCGAACCTACCCCGGCCACTCTGTGTGAGCAGTGTGGCATTATTATACAACCTGCTCAAATGTTAAATATGCAGTCGATTTTTTGTTGACCTACTTTTTGTTTTTATTGAACACCATTTGGTTTCACACTGCTCACTAATTTGATTAAACCAGGCCTTTTTTTCGTAAACAAAAAAATGCACACTGAAAAACAAAGCTACAATTATATATTATCCTACATTCATTCACAAATGATGTTGTATAATAGTAATGCTGTTCGCTGTTTAATAAATTCACTCAAAGAATTGTATACGAAATTTCTGTTTACACCCAATTTCTAAAGAACGATGTAAAAACGTATAGTTTCTTTAATATCAAGCCGAAATGGCGTTGTTACATATCACACAAAATTAGGGTTTGACGTATTTTGAAAATAGCACATTTCGACAAGTGAACATGTTAGCCAACTTACAACTTAGTTAACAACGCTTGAAGGTTAGTCGATGATAGAAGTGCGCCTGGGGTGATTTAGGTAAACAATTTTTATACAACACCGTCAATTCAATTTTTGCCTCTTTCGGCTATAGGCTTTTTATCATTTAGATCTTTCTGAATGTAACACTTTCTTGAATGAAGATGTTTACTTCATTTCAACTGCATACATTAAACAATACCACACCTCAGACAACGGGGAAAAAGGTTAAGAAAAATCAATAAATCAAACGATAAACAAATGCTTTGAGCAACACCGAGTAACCTGGTTTGAGAAGTACAGAGTAGCATGCTTTGACTGACACTGAGTAACATTTTTATTTTCAGTTGCATTTTTTGTAGTTATTAAAAAAATCTTCCTGGCAATGAAAACAAGGGTTCCTCAGGGCCCAGGCACTGTAGCTCGGGAACCTGAAGAGAAAGACGATTGAGAAATGTTCAGTTTGAGAGATTGGAAGAAAATCCCAGAAGGAATCTGAAGAAACCCAGGCAGAGACTAATAACCTAGCTTAGGGGATTCGAACCTGGGCCAATTCGCCGATAGGCTTCCTTCTTCACTTCTATTTTTTCCCTGTCTATTTTCAGAGGACGATAGTTCGAGCGGGGCAGCGGACCGCAAGCGCAAGGGGGATGGCGAGTCCCCGGACGGTAAGGAGAAGAAGAAGAAAGCACGGACCACGTTCAGCGGAAGACAGATCTTCGAGTTAGAGAAACAGTTTGAGGCCAAGAAATACCTGTCTGCTAGCGAGAGAGCTGAGCTGGCTACCCTGCTGAATGTCACTGACACACAGGTACAACTCTTCCATGTTTCTATCACCAAGTTAGGCAGATTTTCTTTTACCGCGTCCATAAATGATGCTGATCTTTTAAAAAGAGGATAGAACAGGCCCTTGAATTTCATGATAAGTGAAGAAAAAAAACATTATGTCAAATATCAGTAACCTGATGAACTAAGGAAATGATCTTGAGTATCATGGGAATTATCAGACTTAAGACTTAGTGAAAATTAAATTATAGCGATGAATGTGTAATCATTCTTGTACTCAGTCCACCAAAATTCGGTAATTATATCAATAATGAAATTACATGTGCCTAAAACCAGGGAAAACTTTACACCAAGCTGTCTCCAAATATACTTCTCCTTCCGTTTTATACCCACAACCACAACCCCCCCCCCCCCTAAAAAAAATGGGGGGGGGGGGTGTAGATGATGTAGCCTACATGTGGGGATTGGACATGCAGACTAAGTCATCACCATGAAGGGTGACAATTTGTGCATAAAATAAGTGATCTCCAACTAAATCTATAATTATTAAACAATAAAATTCATCACTGATGTTAGCCCGATGGTGTAGACAAGGTCAATGCCGGAAATCCCAGCAGACAGTGCCCTCCAAAGCCACCGCAGTTCACATAAATATTTCCAAGAACAATCAATTACATTCGTACGTAGATCACTTCCTTTTTTGAAGTGAATTGTCTTCCTTTACTTCACCTGTTTACACCTTGTTGTTTTTCTGAACATCCAACCATTATATTTAAGTCATATACGAATATTGTCCTATAATACTCGTGCCTTCCCCTGCCTTTTGCTTCTGCCCCGCTTTGTCCCTAGCAGCACGTTCCAACTCCATCGAATCTTTCTTCAATCATACTTACAATTTGTCGATTAAGAGCGATCCTTTCAAAGGCAATAAAAGCCCACAGACGACGAGATGATGAGAACATTTACCGTCATTTCGGCGTTTAAAAAACCTTTCAGATCCCTTCGTTTTACAGTGACAGGGCCGTGTAATGGTTTTAACCTGATCATGAGCTTCATGTATTGCAAAGTAATAGACGGTGCGTGTATGGAAGCCAATCTGTTGTATTTTTAGGGCATACAGAGCAGAAATATTGCTGCGGGATCCTCGTCCATAACACAGCCCATTACAGGTTTAGCTCGCAAAGCGGTAGGCAATTTCGCGGCGCGTTTCAACTCTTCGAATTGCCCACACGATCCCATTGCTCACAATCAAGCACGGAAGTCTTTTCCCCTCTCTCCGAGCCAATTTGATTTTTTTTTTCAGTCTTCTTCCCTTTTAATCTTTCAGGTAGTTAATTTGTCGGGATGGGGCAGTCGTTTTCACAACCATTTAAGGATAATTCACGGAGGCACTGCAATCGGAAAATAATGGATTAAAGGGTTTAAGCGTGGGCCACAGCGGCGGCTAGATGGAATTCCATTACCTTAACATGATTGGTGTAAACGGAGGAGGTTTAACAGCGTTGCTGATATACATTGTACATTGTGATTGGTTAAAAGCTGCGTAAATTATAATGGGTCCATTCACATAATTCTTGGCTCTTTGTGTCACAATTGACTTGTGGGCGTATCCAGTCCGACTTTCAGGAACTTCGGGCCAATCGACTTCGAGCTGGCGGATCACGTGCCCTGCTGTAGCCCACATGCGTCTAGCGATATCGAAGTGTGGCATCCGAGGACGTCCACTTCGCAATTGTAAAGAAAAAAAAATCACAAAAACACTTGTCTGCTCTATTGAAAATGATTTGGCGCCGCTATCGCAGACTTTGTCTTAACTTGAAATTGCAAATGAGTAAATTAAACCGAGAAGAAAACGGTCACGATCCCTTAAATGACTAGACTACCGTGCGACTACGATGATCACTGATGATTACGGCCCATGTAGACTGGCAGTGCGTAAAGACCAAGACACCATGTTCGAGTCTAGTGCTTTACTTAGCGTTACTTTGTGCTGCATACAAGTTGCCTCTCGCCATGCTTTTTTCTGGTGTATTATGTGGGTGAGGTGACAGCAAAGAGGGTGTAGGGTAGCACTTGTGTGTCGCCCTCAGGACAGGTTTGGACCGAGAGCTCCTGAGGAGGTAAGGCAAGAAAGTTACCCGCCTCCTGTTGGCACGCACGCGGTGGCGGGACGTCCCAGATTTTTTCTCGGCGAGTATCGAGGCCTGTTCCGGTGACTCTTGTCTGTTTTCTACACCTTAGGGGAGAAAGAGGGCGAGTTGGAGGTGTAAGCAGAGGAAGACGAGGAGAGACTTCTCTTGCTCTTGAGGAGAGAGAGACTATACCCCACGAGTGGAAACAGAGATGAAAGGGGGCGTGTAAACGGGTTAGGGTCTCAGGGTGGTTTGATCTAGTTTGCCATGGTGGGATGAGAACACTACGGGTCCTCCAATGAAAACCGGCCATCTCAGGGTCCTGTCGTTACTGGTCAAGAAGCTCCCATGTACATCATCATCTTTATTATTTCTTCTCTCTTCTCTGTTTTGATTGGCGCATCCATCCCTGCAGCCCTTGTAAGAGTACAAGGGGTGGTGACCAACAGCTGTTCATTCCCCTTAAAAAGATAATTAATAAATACATTTAAACAAAGCTTCACAATTATTAACTTATTTAATACTTCTGAATCGAGCAATTTTTTACGCCTTCCGGAATAAAACTGCAGATGAAGATATTGCCCTGTCTAGTAACACGCATGCGCGCCCATAAGTGGTTTTGACACTGTTACCTCCACCAAGGAGGTTATGTTTTCATCGGCGTTTGTTTGTTTGTTTGTTTGGTCAGTTTGACTGTTAACAAGATAATTCAAACAGTAATGGACGGATTTGCATGACAATTCTTCTAGTGGTGGTCCTTGGTAAAGTACAAATCGACTAGATTTTGGAAGTGATCCGGATCTGGGTCTGGATCCAGGATTTTTAAAAAGGATCCACCATTTATGCGAGTATTTCTTTTGGGTGTACTTACAATATGGCGGGGAATTGTTTAGCCTTGGTGTAGGTTTGCGCTGTCTGGGTGCTTTCTAGTTTATACTAATGTTACGTGAAAGATTGACTTAGTTTACCGCTGATTTCTTTTTTTTAATCACTGCTTTTATTGACTGTATAACGACGACACGCGCACAATGGTCCGACATTAGTCGTTCTTCATGAGTTCAATGGTCACATTTTGATATCGTGAACGAAGAGTTTTCTATCACATTACATCGTGATTTGCTAACAGTTAGAACAAATTACAATGAAATACAAAGAAATCTCAAAGCATGAATAAAATTGTACATTCACGTCCATCTCACATCCATATATTAGGATATTTCTTTCTTAAACTCTCGTTGCTGTATTTGCATTACCATTTGAACAATATTTTATCGGTGTATGTTGTGCCACTGTGTATTTAACCAATGCCGCAAATAGTTTTATATATCAAATTCATTTGGGAGGTAAAGATAAAAGCCCTATTTTAATTACTGAACCACAAAACAATCTTTGAGACGTACATCAACAGTTTAGTTGACATTTGCCGCCAAAAACAATTCCCTCTAAAATTTGCTCGAGGCCTTTGCGTTTCAAGCGCGTCATTCCGCCGTCTCTCGCACAGCGACTTCTCCCCTCGTTCATTTTAATGTATACACCGCTCCCGGACAATGGAAAACACGTGTACTTGTTCGACGTCGTCTGTATTAATTTTCATCATAATTTAGGAATAATGGAACGTCGGTGATTCACAGTGGATGGACCTGAATCAATCATAAATCGTGACATATCGCCGTACTGGGAGTGTTTACTGCATGGGGTATAGTACGGCTTACGTGATTGGTGGAAACATCAGCGAGTTTGAAATCGTACTGACCTGCAATTAACGTAAATGAGACACCTATATTAACTAATCTACGGGATACAATAATTGTGAACTCTGAATAACATTCACTAAAATGTAGAGTAAAAACAGATGCCGATAATAAAGATTGTGCGTTGATATCTTTCACTCGTCTTTTGAAATATCTTTTAGTCCTTAATTTGGACTTTTAGCACTGGATAAAAGAGAAAGAAAATGAAACAAAAGGGTTCTTTACAGAGATGTCTTAATGGCTATACATGTAGTGCTTACTATGTAGCAACGCTCTGTGCATTTTTAAACAAACTGAAAATTTCTGCAAACACCGGAGGCCGAAACCGCCAAGCTTTCGCATATCAACTGAGACTTATGTTCCAATTTTGATAATCAGTCAATAATTTCTTTATCCAAATATCTTAGAGAAAGGACTTAATTAACATTAACTGTGAAAACCCCCCACAATTGCAGTGGCTTGACACGGGCTTGGATATAGCTTACCGATAAATGTGGTAGCCTGTCGGTACCAGGAAAGACTCTATGTTTTTCTTGTCTAAATATTTAGGTACCAATGAAATAAACGCGAAAACACCATTATTTTCGCAAGTTATCTTATACCCAGACTCACAGTCGACACAGCACAAGTATTTGTTGGAATTGTACACTAAAGAATGTTTTGTTTCTCACTTCCCGCTCGCAGGTGAAAATCTGGTTCCAGAACAGACGTACCAAGTGGAAGAAGATGGAAGGGATTTCCAACGCGGAGGCTGCGGAGCACAAGATCGGAGGACCGAAGCACATCGACACCATCCGGCAGAAACAGAGCAGTGAGGCGGCCACGGCTGCGGCGGGGATACCGGAGAAAGCGTCTTCGCCTCCCACTAGGGTCGTGCCTGCAGCCGCTGCGGTTGATGATGATGATGATGACGACGATGATGATGATAATGAAGATGGAGAAAGGGTTCAGGAAGAAAGATGCGGATCTCCTTGTCGTAGTCATGATGCTGATGATGAGATGGAGGTTGAAGTCGTCCCCGTGGCTATAACAGTAGTGGATGAAAGCGAGACAGGGATGGAGGATAGGAAAGGGGAGTTTGTCAAGGAGGAGGATCGGGTATCAAGCCAGGAGGTAGGAGGACAGAGAAGAAGATTAGACTGTGAGCGTGACTCAGTCCTATCCCTCTCCCATCACCATCATCCCTTAGCTATCCAGACTCTTACATCAGCAACAGAGACACCATCACCACCGCAACCATCACGCGAGACCGCCATGGAAGAATCTACGGAGGCCAAGATAAGCCACATCATCCTGACAGACGAGGAGAATGGAGAACGAGAGAACACAATGTGGGACAACCACGCTATAAAGAGCGAAACGATTCATGGTGACCACCTGCATAATTGTCACTGAAGTCTCCAAATTATTGTGGACAAAACACACACGAGGTTAAGACAGCTGACTGATAAAGGGCGTATAAATAAATGTAAATACTTAACAAATTAGGGTTTAAGAGATACATATCTACTATTTATAAATTGTGTATAAAAATCAATGAGTGTGGACTATTTTCATGTTCTCGTTACATGTTCAGCATCAAGTGTTTGGAGTCTTAATTCAATACTGGCCACAATAAGACTGAGGTCATCGAGTGAATGTCAATATGCACTGTACATAACACAGTAAATAAGGAAATAAGACAAGGCAAGCCCAGTAAAGCTGGTCACAAAGCCCACAATATTTTATTTAATTGATTCAGACTGGCTATTCACTGGAAGCCTTTTAATGCGTCTATGTACACAGGCCAGATTTAGTCCATAAGTGGCGTCACGAGGTAATCCTATAGGATAGCACTGCCCGGCTCATAAGTGACAGTGAGACAGTGAAGTAAAAAGAGGACTATAGATTGGCCCACTCTGGGAACAGCACACCTAAGGTTCACTGTTAATAACCCACGGAGAAAAACATACTGGCATAGGCCTACTAAACATTATGACGCCAGTACATCCGTTGTTTCGAATACAGATGTGAATTTGGTTGCAAAAACAAAAAGACTTGCAAACTTCAAGTAGAATTTCACTTCAAGTTGGGTCCCATCTTTGTTCAGATGAGCCATTTAGGAAATCAAAGACTATTTGGGACGACCTTCTTAAATGTCGTCTGGCGCATGAAATCACTGCAAACAGCAGCACGTCACGCGCCGCCAGGTCCTTCAAGTCCATTCAGTCAGGCGACAGCTTTTCCTTCTGTGAAGCTTTTCCCGCTCTAGTTTTTTTCCTCCGTCTCTGTCTCGGTCTCGTACGAGTAAGAGATTCAATGGGCTGTTACATGCAGACTCCTTCCATCCAGTCAGCTACCCGTGGTCTCCGCGCCTTGGCCCCGGTCAGGTGTGCATCACAGGTGGAATTGTAAATAGAGTCTGGGAGTTCGCCTTGCATATCCAAACATCCTCTTTTCCCCCTCCCCCCTTCACTCTGGCTCGGCTAATGCGGCTACTCGGGCCGAGGATGGGAGAGCGAGGGGGAGAGGGGGAAAGACTCGAGACTCTGGAAGCATTTGAGGGGCGAAGTGTGTGTACACGGAGAGGAGCGTGGATGGAAAGCAGATCAGAGCAAATAGACGGAAGGAGGTCGGAGAAGGAGCGGGAAATCACCGCAAAACGATTGCTAAACTGTAAGGCAGTCGATTCTCAGTCTAAATTGAAATGCTTGTCAGGTGCAGCCGGGGGAGGGTGATAATGTTGGTGTCTTGACGTCCTGTGGGATTTTGAAGCCAACTAAATAAATGTCCCACTGCCAAAGTTGATATAATTTTACCCTAAGCATGTGCTAGCCTCGAAGTATCTGAAGTCAGATGTCACAAAAGGTATTCACTGACAAACTGCAAATCGAAATAATCAAGCATCTTTAAGCACAGATGTAAACATGTTTTTTTTTTTATTTGGCAAAATTCATGAATAGATGCTCAAAATAACACAGAAAATCAGCGATATGTTGTTGACTTTGTGCTAAGAATTATATGAACGGAGAGAGCTCGGCGCTAAACGGTGGCTAAATTGTAGAGCACTCGGTTTTTTTTTCAAAACAACACTCAAGCAACCACCGAGATAATGCTGATACATACCTGAAAGTGGAATTCTTCACTGAGGTCATTTTTGGCCCGTGTTATCAAGTCTTTCACCGTGTTCGTAGGAATTCCTTCCCCGTGACCTTCGGCGTCACGCCGCCACTTGTCGCGCTATAAATGCCTAACCACATCACAACAATCTCGGTTTATGACGCGTGTTCGACCGATGGGTTTGTTTAAAACTAGGAAAGGGTTTATAAATGTTTATTTTTATTAGTAAGAGGGCACGCTCCAAGAACTAAGTGCATCGGCGGGCGTTTTAGTACTGGACCAAGCGATCATGCTATTAAAAATAAATATCATATCCATTCAAAATATGTGTGGTTAATCTATTCTGAGGTACCGAAGCTCTACTTTAAACTCGCATTTACTTTCAATGTCTAGCCAATACAATGTACACATTAGATTGAAAACCGCGAAAGTCACCTCGACTGTTTAAAAAGCCGCGCAAAGTTTAGATTAGTCCAAATTCGATGATGAGCTTACGTCCAAAGAAAAGTTTACTTTGACTTGGATTTTCCAGTGAAAAAAAGAGCCACTCTCAAACGTTTACCGTGTCTTTGTCGCTATCCCAAACCGAGAAACAAAACGAGTCTAGTGAAAGGTATAGGTACGGGTGAAGCAAGACCTTTTTTCAGTTATGACGCCAAGGGGCAAGACTCTTGTTCCATAACTCGTATGTTTGTTGTACACCATTGCTTTTCTCGATTCTATGTATATCCGTTTCTTATTTTCTGTCCAACTTCCTGTCTGTGTTTCTAGACCTTCTTGGTCCACATCTTTTCGTGACTTCTTGGCTCGTCTCTTCTGTCCTCCTCTGGCTTCACCGTGTCTCTCCTCCTATTCTTTCCGCCGTGTCTTCCTTCCTGCTCGAATGTCTCTAATCAGCTTTAGTACCGAACCAAACACCGCGCGCTCCGCACTCGTTGCGGTGTTTCCTGCCCCGGCCACGACCGAGGAACCAGGTGTCAGGCCCTCGTTGCCCAAGGGTACACGGCCACGAAATCCTAACCATCCCGCCTCACGTACCGAAATCCATCCAGAACCAAAAACCCACCGAGAAAACCGCCTTTTTGAGATTCTTCTGCGCTTTTTTAAAGTAGTTGTGCGAACGGCCCCTGCAGTCAGGATGTTTAAAGATGAGATTCGTGATACGGTTTTTCCGATTTTCTGGAAAGTCAAGCCGAATGAGGTGGTGTCACGCCCGTAGACTCAAAACAGAAGTGGGCCAGTGAGACGGGTACTTCACCGATAACAAGCCGGTGGGAGCAGCGACTCGGATCGGTATACCGAGAACTGGTTTCGTTAAAAAGGAGAAAAATACCAACTGCATTATTTTTTTAAAGGAAGTTCGCTCACCATGGCACAGTCGCACGGCGGTGAAATCAAATGAAAATCGAATTGGACGACCTTACAAAAATATAGATATTTTTTTATTTGGAAAACCTTATATCAATCACAGATGTTATAATCCAAAACCTCTTATATGTCATACACTAAGCATTCGAGTGGAAGCTGGGCTTAAACCTTTTGCCGTCAGTTTCTCAGGAATTCGTATACAGAAATGGTCTGCCTGCATGCATGCATTATGAGGATGCACTTACCACCACATTGATAAGCACCAGAAAGCTTTTGTTACAGAGGTAAACTCTGAACAAAGGTGTCAAAAATATTTGACTGGTATTTTTTTTATGAAATATTCTCAGGATATCACTGGGGAATATGGATTAAGCCAGGTGTATAGTTTCTATATCCAGCTGTGAGGTTTAGGGTTGGACACATCGGTTCATAGGATATGTTTGATACCTATATTTCTTAATGGTTGAATGATGGGAAAGACAACGCAATCTTTGTGCAGTCTCACTTGGAGAATGGTACATAATGAAATTGGTTTAGAATTTGAAACAAATAGATATGCGTACGTATTTAATAACTACATATTTCAAAGGTGCGAACATGAGGGTTTATAGGTCTGTTAAGATTTTTGACGTCTTTCGATGTGAGTCACGATCCGTCAATAAGGAAACCGAGTTTTCCCAACCCACGTTTGAATATAAATAAAGCATGCGGTGTTTCTTAAAGTAACAGTGAATGTTAACAATCTGTCAACCGATTTACAACTATTTGCGTCTGATGACGAAAACACTCAAAATGTCATCACTGGATCACGCAACAGTCGTCGGGGACTGCCGCATTCGAATAGTTTCCTTGAACCGTCGCCGGGGCGAGATGCGGCCCACCTGTACGGTAGCCCTGAAGGGACGCGCAGAGCCGCGAACGGCGAAAGGTTATTAATCTAACCCGGTGTTTTGTCTGATTAACAAGGACGGGTAAATAATGTTTGGACAAGTCCCAGCGTGAGAGGTGCACCAGGTGGGCGTAAATTGGTTGTCAATGCCGTCAGATTGCAGATTTAGACAGCATTAGCTCTGATTATTGGTTTCTATTGCTTCTGGGGGTAGCTGAAGTATTCGGGATTGTAAAGACTGCTGATGGCAGCTTGTTTTCTATGACAACACATTGTGGAATGATGACTGATGATTATGTGAATAAAACAAACTGAAATGAAGAAACGAAATTTTGATTTTCGTGTTTTTGAAGTGTGTGTAGGATTAATTACATCATTACTGTTGGGACAATGGGACACTAAAACATCGTCTCCATCTCTATGCTTATCATCACCAAAATGAAATAGTAACCGCAATCGATTTTTTATCGTTACCACCTCTAACCACCCTCAACATTATCGTCATCGTAATAGATTCTTCTTTATTTTACTTCTTAACTTAATTATTTACTTTGTTGTATAGTCACCAGATTCAGTGGTTAGCAATTTCAATAAAATTTATCAGTCTTATCCCCACACTGAATCATCCTCCAATCACTACTATCATCATCACAATCACCATGACTATCACCACATTTGTTGTCAACATCGTCCATTAAAGTCACATCTATACACCTGCTGCTGTAATTGTCCTATCTAGTGTCATAGCAGGTCGGTAACTGGTATTCTAACGAGAGTCCAATATTCACAGCGAGCAAACTAAGAATCAGAAATCAGATGGAATCATTAATATCTGGGCCACAACAGAGATTGGGTTTTGATCTTTGTGGAGCTGAGGGACTTTAGAGAGAAAGTGGATGACTGAAGACGAAAGAGAAGTAGGAAGGGAGGGTTTCAATTCCATCGTAGCCAGGAGATGTGCTTGAGTCTTCGTATTCGCCCTTTTCATTCTGGGCCGCAGGGGGTTCCTAGCAATTCAATTCCCGCGCTGCCAAACCTCTCTAACCTCCAAGTGCAAAAAAAATCCAGCGTCGGCAGCCCTGGGCCAAATTCATTTCTACCCGCGGCACAATCCTTGAAAAACGTATCAAGAACCGGCTGGAAAAAGGGCTGTTCGTCCCGTCCATTAACGGGGGAGAGGCCTCGATATCTGATGGTCGGTTGGGGAAGGAGTATTTGAAGTCTAAGCGCCGGGCGAAAATGGGGCTATCAGGGGAAACCCGATCGCTGGCGGAACTGCGGCATCATATACAGTCAAGCACTCGGAAAACGCTCTAATGTGGGGCATTTAGGAGGAGGAAAACGCCAGGCAGGGCCACGTCTCCTAGATACCCCCCCCCCCCCCATACACATACACCACGAAAGAAGAGGAAGGGAGGAGGG